TTTGAATAATATTTCTGTTCATGTTAAAAACAAAATCAACTCTCTGTATAAATATATCAGGTGACCGTTAAGGCCCATGGGCCTCTTGTTTTTAATAATAATATGATTGCAGATAAAGTTGTCAACAAATAAAACAAACAAAAACATTTCTAAAACCGCTGTTACACAGTCATCATTTGGAGTAGTATTAGTTTTCTATATATAGATCTTTTCACCTGTTTACAGCGCAACTTTTACCAACTTATGGAGAATAGATCCGGAAAATACCTGTTAATGGAGATTCTGATTCTATGTTATAATTTACTCATAATCCAAACTTTGTATGTGCAGACAAGTACTTGATAAAAACATACGAATATATATATATTCACCCATATATTTCAACAATGTATATATGTCGTATTGTTCCGTTTTAATTCTAGCGAGTAAAAAAGTTTAAAGACACATATTGAGAACTAAAAGACATACAGTTATGAATTGTATAAGCAAAGTAAGGAAACACCCTTCTATTGATATAACTAGTGTTTCAACTTGCATTGGGCGACATATTTAGAAGCCACCAGTTAGATGCTTGCGCTGGCCTCTTGTAGGCTTTTATATCATATTTACGAAACGTTTCACATCTATTCTTTAAAATGTATGAATTAACATTGCACACCGGTCTGTTGTATCTTCCGTCACTACCTATGATTTTATATATTCATTCAATTATAATACAATTACACATATATGTTAACAGTCATGTTATATGTATACAATATACAGTGTACACCTGTTACGGTGTTAAAAGGCTCCAAATGAAGCAGATACTTCTGTAAATAATTCAACATCAATATGCATGTACACCTTGCTTGCTATTGTTTATTAACAGCTATGATCGTCTACGCCATACACACCTTTTGCGACATGTTTATCATGTATCCACAGTTGACGCATGCTCATTGATCTAATATGGCCCTTTCCCGGATGGATGGATGGATGGCGGGTTTCGCGCCTACATGAATCCGCCCTTACGGGTTTCATCTCACCACCCATTTCATTTCATCACCCATTTCCCGGGTGAACTGTTCTCTTATATAGTGTTGTCTGGGTAGGTATAGCAACCGAGCCGTGAGGCCAGACCTCCCCAGACAACACCCTAAGAGAGCTGTTACCAGGTGCAAGGGACATACTAAATTAAGTACATTACATGAATACCATTTAAAAATAAAAAAGCGATCAATATGAACTTCATTGATAACACATTTAATTATTCATTCACAGAGTAACCTAGGTGAAGGGACTTAACTCTTGTCGTCACTCTACTTTTCCCACGTGCCGAAAAAAAGGTGTGGTGCCCGTCGCCAGGAATAGTTTCCTGTAGTCAAGGAAGGCAGAAAACTACACCAGCAGAAAAAAAGTTGTCATCCAATAGCCTTCCTAGAAATTATCATGTGATGTACTTAAAGTTGAATAAGTGACCGAAACTCTACAAAATTATGACAGAGCTAACACTGGAACACAATCGCAAACATTTACATACATTACAAGGACAGTCGGAGACCAAAGTTGATACGAAAAAGATAATACCATAAATCGACACAAGATACAGGGAATTCCTCAAGAAAATCCCCCTTAAAACATCAGAGGCGAAACCATGTGTTTAGGACAAAAGGCGGTTCCTACCCGACAGGTTACGGAGCCTCCTTTCGTGATTTATTTGTCACATTTCACAGAACATGTTCTAAAGGAGCACGTTTGCAGTGGCAAGCAATGTCTCCTGGTATGTTTCATGTACTTCTGGGTAAAATCTCTATGTTAAGTTCAGGTAACAATTATTGGGTATATACTTAGAAAACAAGAGAATGCAGTAGTTAAACTAATCCGTAATTCTAACTCAAAATCGAGAAAGTCAGGGAAAATTAAGACGAAGGAATAAATCACATGAATACCATTGCAAAGGTAGAAGGAGAATTAGACCAGATGTTCATGAAGGGTAAGCGTCTTCTTCCCCGATGACAACCGCCATGTAAATCTAGGTCAAATCTTATTAACGTCGCGTCCTGATAGCGAAAACTGGGATAGTGATTACATAAAACACGATTTAAGATCGCTGAAAAGGTGTTGGTTGTATATTTGATATAGAGGTTTAAATTCTTGAAATGTATTTGCTCAAGAACCAATGTTTTCGAGTCGTGTAAAACAACCCCGTCGTATAATACTACACAGACTACGATAAAGCTTTCACGGTCATATAGCCACGATCCGTTACACCTCTATAACAATGTTCGAGGTTACCATGCAGTATCGGTAAGGAAACACCGCATCATTTGTGAATTGCTCAAACATTGTCCCTCTGTCTGAGACCGCCATCATTATGTACACACATTGGTATAACACTCGAAACTTTAACTATCACGATGTTTGGGATTACTATAAGTATTAACACTTGTTGTACACCGCTCGAAACATTACCATCATGTCTGGGATCACTATCAATAATGTTACTGTCGTCAGAATCACCACTCCGAAGATACCGATGTTCTGTGAGCTTTCCCGACCATCATATGCGCTGCTCTTCGATCGCACGTAGGCTGGAACAAAAATCGGGGATAATAACAAACCGTCCTTTCAATAATAACTTCATTAAAACGTCATGTACAGTATGTATATAAAGCAGACACCCATTCCCAATTCCCAATTCCCACTATGAACCTTCAAATAATACTAGATACATATAAAAATATCCTTAAAACCGGTCCATTTGTGATAGCGAAATAAATAAGATACTGAACTTAAGTAATTTTACAACAACTATGAAGCAAATTCTATCATCTTATATTAATCTCTCTTGTTGGCCCCGGGGGTTTAAATGCGGGACGAAACTGTACCTTTTATAGAGAAAATTAGACGGTTGGATAACTGAACCCCGGCCCCGTCGCGTTGGTGAATGGCTAAAGCAATTACATTGTACCGCTGCGACATCCGACCAACCCCAGTGCTTGTTATATAGATGAAGCAATAATAACTTAACATGAAATCAGACGAGGGTATATTCAGGAATTTAATCAATAATCACGGCACACTCCACGTGCTGGTTGGTATAAACGATACCAATAAACCCTAAGTTTCGTGTATTGTAGGTATCGCTGTACAGTTCATTGTTAGGAAATACATAGCTAACATCATGTCAATCACTCCTTAAGAGATATCCATCGGTTTACATTGTAAAATAAAGTATTATGAAAACACTATCACGGCATCATTAATGTATGTAATATTGATTTCGTAATGGAAGTTTGAATCGATGTAGCCTTTTCTGTTAAAACATGATTAAAACCGTGCCATAACGACCATAAAGCGGAAAACACGTCACGGCTGTGTTAGCTTTTGTTTCGTAATAAAAAGACATTTTGAATTATCTATAGTTTTGTAGATTCTGGACTATGCCAAGCTCACATTTCACTTGATGCTTTTTTCTACCTGTTATAGATGGGATCGCAGACTTCTGACCATTTTGTAAGGTGATATTGTATAGTGGGAGTTATAATGTACTATACAGAATCCAGCAAATACATGGATTGTATTGTATCAGCATGGAAACGATAATCTTTTATTTGCGCATGCCATCGCCACTATGTAGAATGTCCTGTATATAGGGCACGATTTAAGCGTGCCAATATGTGAAAACATGAAAAAAATATTAAATTCTTTAATTACTGTTTGTAAATTACTTATTATTCAAAAGAACTCTAATGTGGACCATCCAAACTAATAAGATCCACTATTTAGCATAAAAAATATATACAAAGAGTTTTTTTCACTTTTCACGAATTGGGTTGCACCTGCTAGGGCAAATCATATCAACCCAATATGTGAAAACATGAAAATATATGTTAAATTCATTAATCAGTGTCTACATGCTTGGTCAGAGCAATCATCCCTTCAGAGAAAACGCCGTCTGTTTCTATTTAAGATGCTTCATCATGAGTATACAAACTTGCGCAATGTGTTTGTTGTTATTGACTAACGAGAATCTATAATTTTACGAACAAATCACAGCTTTGTTTTATGTTCAAACGGGCTAAGCACTGCATTTTATGGAATAACTTGGATTTTTTGCAATAAGACATAGCTAAAATACCACGATAGCAATATCAAAATCATACAGAAATACATAATAAACAAATAATTTGTTGAGGAGTTAAAATATAATGTAAACAGGGAACTTTCGATGAAATTAACTTTTCACGAGGACAAACTCATGATCAAAGGGATGAATACTACTGATCCTTACACTGTAAAAGGGGACATTTTACAAGGTGTCCAAACGTAGTTTTTTACGGTCTGATTGATTATTCATCACGTAAATAGTGAGCATAATATTAGTACGCGCACGTTTTTTTCGCACTCAAATTTTAGGGCATTATCTGATTTAACAGATTAGCGCATTGATGAATTGGCTCACCAAACTATTTGTAATAGAAAACAATATAAAGGAACTTCAATTGGCTCAATCATAATTAAGCGCAATATTTCAAGCGTGAAAGCGCTAAAATAAGACTACGCCCAAAATCTGTACTATTACAGTAAGTAAAGTTTCGAGCAAAACATCTTACCAGAAGTTTTCTTTTTCACTACTGCGAGGTCCTTCTTTATTTCCGCGACCTTATTATGGAGCGTGTCTATATCAATGGTAGGAAATGTTGAGACTTCTATCGCTGACGTATTTGTGATAGTCTGTGCAGTAGTGGTGGTTATGTCGGGTCCCTGGGTAGTTTTCTCCTCCTCGGTGACGTTGGAGTTATCCCGACAACAGAATTTTGATTCAGGCAAAAGGCAAGGTGTCAATCGAGAGTTTGACCCAACTGTTTAATAAATAGTGCAATAATTATTGATTATCAGATTGTTTTATTTATTGGTGGGCTTTCAGACCTATACCAATCCTTAGGGATCGTACATGTAAGAAAAGGCAAATTACCGTTTATATTTTCTTGTTTTTGTGTTAATCATCTACCAAAGATCCGAAAAAGTGATTTTCGAAAATGTATGCAGAACTGTCAAAACAATCTCTAAACGTCAAAAGAGCGATCTAGAAATCTTGTCAAAATAGTTATCGTTCTAAGTAAGATTGAAACTTAACCGAAAGAATAATATTGGCTACATCATTCAACGACTTTCTCCAGAAAATGTTGGTACTTGGAACAATCTTATGAGTAGAGAAATAACTATATACTGTTATACTACCAATAAACAATACCACAGTTGAATAACTAAAAATGTCACAATGGGTTTAAAACTGTTATTTTCATGTTGTGAAATCCTTGTGATGTCAAACTTACATTGTACAGATATGGTCATGAAGTCTGCCTTTATATGTGCCCGGTCTGAACAAAGTACAAAAAAAGCCTTATTAAGAAACATATTTGGCTATGAAAATTATAATAATTGTTATTATTTATAGATTTAAATAGCATATCCCTTAATTAACTACACTTTTTTCTTTTTGTGTGTTTTGTTAGTTTGTATTTCAGATATCCACAAAATCTAACTCAAATACTATATAAAATATAGCTTGCATTACACAAGTGGTTACAGTGATACTTTCAAACAATTACAAATACTATAACATGGTCATATTAGTACAGCAAAAGGAGTGACATGTATAGAGTTTTTATATATATTGTTTATCATTGTAAATTAGTCACAGACGTATATTGTTTTACAATGTAATGTAGTGACATGTATATATTGTTTATCATTGTGATATAGTGACATGTATATAATGTTAACTACTGTGATATAGTGACATGTAACTATTGTTAACTACTGTGATAAAGTGACACGTATATATTGTTTATCATTGTGATATAGTAACATGTATATATTGTTAACTACTGTGATATAGTGACATGTGAATATTGTTTATCAGTGTGGTATAGTGACATGTATCTATTGTTAACTACTGTGATATAGTGACATGTATATATTGTTAACTACTGTGATATAGTGACATGTATATATTGTTAACTACTGTGATATAGTGACATGTATATATTGTTAACTACTGTGATATAGTGACATGTATATATTGTTAACTACTGTGATATAGTGACATGTATATATTGTTAACTACTGTGATATAGTGACATGTATATATTGTTAACTACTGTGATATAGTGACATGTATATATTGTTAACTACTGTGATATAGTGACATGTATATATTGTTAACTACTGTGATATAGTGACATGTATATATTGTTAACTACTGTGATATAGTGACATGTATATATTGTTAACTACTGTGATATAGTGACATGTATATATTGTTAACTACTGTGATATAGTGACATGTATATATTGTTAACTACTGTGATATAGTGACATGTATATATTGTTAACTACTGTGATATAGTGACATGTATATATTGTTAACTACTGTGATATAGTGACATGTATATATTGTTAACTACTGTGATATAGTGACATGTATATATTGTTAACTACTGTGATATAGTGACATGTATATATTGTTAACTACTGTGATATAGTGACATGTATATATTGTTAACTACTGTGATATAGTGACATGTATATATTGTTAACTACTGTGATATAGTGACATGTATATATTGTTAACTACTGTGATATAGTGACATGTATATATTGTTAACTACTGTGATATAGTGACATGTATATATTGTTAACTACTGTGATATAGTGACATGTATATATTGTTAACTACTGTGATATAGTGACATGTATATATTGTTAACTACTGTGATATAGTGACATGTATATATTGTTAACTACTGTGATATAGTGACATGTATATATTGTTAACTACTGTGATATAGTGACATGTATATATTGTTAACTACTGTGATATAGTGACATGTATATATTGTTAACTACTGTGATATAGTGACATTTATATATTGTTAACTACTATGATATAGTGACATGTATATATTGTTAGCTACTGTGATATAGCGACATGTATCTATTGTTAACTACTGTGATATAGTGACATGTATATATTGTTAACTACTGTGATATAGTGACGTGTATATATCGTTTACTGTGGTAATGTAGCTTCAGACGTTGATGGTTTAGTATTATAATTTATTACATACTTACTAATAAATACGGGTATTTTTGTATATGCGATACGTCACAATTGCTATAACCCATATCAGCCCTCGCCGTATCACACCCCAAAACCCGTATCAGCCCCCGCCGTATCGCGACCCAAAATCCGTATCAGGCCGCAAAACCCGTATCACACCCTTTTTGGATTTTTTTTTCGTTTTTCAATAGTTCAAAAGAAAAATAGATCATAAGGTAGTAACTTTTATTAGTACGTATGTAATAAGACAATACATTTATTTGTGTTTAAAAAAAAAGTAAATTGTCTAAAGTTACACAACAAAAACACTTCTCTTTCTGATTTATGTAAAGACTAATTTTATGATTTTTTTCTGAGGAATAAGGACCTTAAGAAGGTGAAAAGTATGTAATAAACAGAATAATACATGTCTTTTTCCATATCACACCCAGTATCAGCCCTCGACCATGCAATATCAGCCCTCGGGCTGATATTGCAGTTTTGGGTTGATACTGGGTGTGATATGGAAAAAGACATGTATTATTCTCTATTTCGGGTTGATACTGGGTGTGATATGGAAAAAGACATGTATTATTCTCTATGTAGTGACGTGTATATATCGTTTACCGTTGTAATGTAGCTTCAGACGTTGATGGTTTAGTATTGTGATATAGTGACAAAACCGCTTGTGTTACGAAGTAATTTGTTTAATAGTTAACTATCAAACGATTCTAACACTGCCCAACTACGTACTCATTTACAGCTGGGTAGACTGAAACAAGCAGAGTAAAGTATCTTGCTCAAATATACAACACGGTGCCGTGCCGTGACTCAAACCCGAAACTCTTCGCGCTTGAACCCGGCGTCCTACCGCTAGACTACCGTGTCTCCTTTTCGTTCTCTAAGTACCTTCTTTGAAGTGCGAAACTGTAGTCTTTGGGCTGTAGAGAACGGCTGGCGTTTCGTGATTATGGTCTTTCTCCCACTCACAAATTCCGACACTACCACCATCATACACGATTAACCAACCATAGTCGTTGGAGCAACCTCCATACAAAGAATTGATGAAAAATCTTCGGATATGGTGATTGGGTCCGGCTTCATTGACATGACTGAAACACAAAATGGTCAAAAATTAGTCAGTAGCAATATTCTGATCGGTTTTTTTTCTTTTTCTTAATGGATGAAATATGATCAATCTTCAAAATTCTCTTCTCATCTTTAAGGATCCTATTTATATACATAAAAATATATACAATAAAAAGGATATAAATCTACTGGATACGCCAACCTAAAAACTTGAAACGTATGTTGACATGTTCTAAGTTTGATAATTCTTGTGTAACACCAAAAGTATCCAAATGTAAGACACCAAGATGTGCTACATGTCCTATGATTATCGAGTGTAATACTTTTATTTTCAAGAATGGTTTGAAATTTACTGTGAAGGTAAATATGAATTGTAAATCAAAAAATGTAATTTATGCAATCGTTTGTTCTAAATGTGGTGATTTTTACATCGGTCAAACCGGTAATGAACTCAGAACACGTATGACTGTACATAGACAACAAACTAGAACTGATTCTTTACGAAATCTTCATGTTAACAAACATATTCATGAATGTGCTGGAGATAAATTTAATGTATTACCTTTGTATCAACTATTTTCATCAGACACTATTTTAAGAGAAACGAAAGAAGACCAACTAATAAAAATATTAAAACCGAGTCTCAACAGGCCACAATAAAATTTTACGCCAAATTGTCCACCAATCTTGTGTACTTCGTGACGTCACGTTACTATTNATATATTATATAAAGAAAAATTCTTAACAACGAGTCTTTAGTACTTTCATCTCTTCTAGGAGATTCTTCAGACTGTTTATTTGAAGTATTGACGTCATAAACTATGACGTCACATAATAGTTCGCTATAACGACGTCCGCCATATACGTACCCGCCATAACAATATCACAGCAATATAAAAATATCAATTATAGTCTTAAGGCAAAGAGTACTATTTGTTTAGGATTGAGATATACTAGTAATACTATAACTTACAAAAGAAATAATATAATAATAATAAAAAATAAGTAAAAATAAAAAATAAAAACACCAACTGTGTGGGGCGAACTCAGGACCATTACATTACTGATCCGACACACTACCGATGTCACTACATTATTATATTTCGCGCGGTTGACTACAAGAAAATAAGGCGAAATTATTTTCTCTAATGGTACCCCGATAGGTGGCGACACCTGTAGGGTATGTGTAGCACGTGCAGCAAGTGTTGCTGGGAGCTCAGTTCAGGTCAACGCACTGGTCGGGACGGAGGTATAGATAAAAAAATATTTTTCTGAAAAAATAGTGGTAAATGTCTAGGAGATACATTGTAGATGTGTAGGATAAAATATACATGACAAATTGTTGTAAAATGTTGTTTGAAATTATTATTAATAATTAAACAGTCACTGGTGGACCGTGCAGGTCGGTGCGTTGTGAACAGCCTATGGGTGTTTGTTGTTGCCACCTGGGGTGGGTAATTAGAGAACAAACATAACTCTTCAATAGGCAAAAATAAAAATGATAAAACACATTGATCGAAACTCGTGTAGTACTCTCTACCTTAAACGTAACATGAAGTTAGAACATTATAAAATATTTATCAATCAGTACTGTTCAAGCGGGGTCTAAAAAGTCTGATGAATTCAGCCTCCTTAGCCTCACGGTTGATTACGTCTGCGTTGTTCATTTGGTAAATAGGAAATATTTTAAATTTGTCATCAGCGCAAGCATGTATGTGTTTACTAACTGGTAAACATCTTAAGCTGTCTGTTCGTATTTGTTGTCTATGTACAGTCATCCTTGTTCGTAGTTCACCGCCCGTTTGACCGATATAAAATTCAGAACAATTGTTACAAATCATTGCGTAAATTACATCACTAGACTTACAATTCATATGCTTTTTAACCTTAAAGCTAAAACCATTTTTGAACTTAACATCAGTTCCTTCTATAATTAGGTTACAAGTACCACAACGAGGTGTATTACATTTTGATACACATGCATTAAGATGATTACTTTCAAACCTTGATCTAGTTAGAATACGTTTAAGATTTTTTGGTTGTCTTTTGCTGTTTATTAAAGCACAACGATCCAAGACTTTTTTCATACGTTCGCTACCTCGTTTCAAATCTTATATATATATATATGTGGGGCATAGAAGTAATTCCAACAGTGTGGACAAGTTTAGGCTGTCAAATTTTCGGAGCGATCCGCTCCTTTATCAAGACACAGTGAAACAGAACAGTTACATGTACATATATATCATATTACAAGAAGATAGAACTGATATACTATAATTGAAAATATAGCTATTATATAAAACCAATAGTCCCCTCGGCTATGATACCGTAGTATCTCTATCAGTGGAACCTCCATGACATTTACACTCACTGATCAGTCTGATACTATCGTATCTCTATCAGTGGAGACCGTCATTACATTTACACTCACGGACACGTCTGATACCATCGTATCACTATCAGTGGAACCTCCATGACATTTATACTCACTGATAAGTCTGATACCTTCATAACTTTATCAGTGGAGACCGTCATGACATTTACACTCACTGATAAGTCTGATACTACCGCATCTCTATCAGTGGAGACCGTCATGACGTTTCTACTCACTGATAAGTCTGATACCATCGTATCTCTATCAGTGGAGACCGTCATTACATTTAAACTCACGGACACGTCTGATACCATCGTATCACTATCAGTGGACACCGTCATGACCTTTACACTCACTGATAAGTCTGATACTACCGCATCTCTATCAGTGGAGACCGTCATGACGTTTCCACTCACGGACACGTCTGATACCATCGTATCTCGATCAGTGGAGACCGTCATGACGTTTCCACTCAATGATAAGTCTGATACCATCGTATCTCTATCAGTGGAGACCGTCAT